TCATCTGTGAACATATTTGTAGGTCAGATTCCACAAGGAAAAGATGTGAGAGATGAAAAACAAAAGAAAGCCCATGTTATCGGAAGAACCGAGATGTCCCTGGACTTCTAAATCACTCTGCTAGAACCTAGAGAGACAGAGGCATGGAGGAGGCAGATAATGTTACATCCACAGTCCTGAAGTGAGAGGCCTTTTATCACCACTTTCTTCATAAAACAATGATGAGAGAAAGCTGAAACGCTCCTATGCCCAGGATAAAAATGTACACTGTCTGGATTTTTCACATAATCTGACTTGCAAATTGCCTAGAAAAAAATTCAAGCTGGATATTCAATTCCTAAGTTAAATCCCACAGAATGGGTATCTGGGATTGGTCCATTTTTCTCATTTGCATTCAGTTCTACTGCCATAATGAAGTAGAAGAGATAAAGCAATAATGCAAGGAACAAAAATTGTTTTCTGCAGCAATTCTGCAGAGTATTTCCTTTTCTATTCCCTCCTGAAATAACATAATGCGTGTGACATACGTAGAATTCTTGTAGGGGCACTTCAGTCTGAATAAATTTCATTCTTGTAAAAAGGGTAACATCAAAACGAATGAAAAGTAGTAGTCTCTACTAAGACAAAGAGTAACTCTGTGTAACTTCAATGGACAAAGACTACACCCTAAAGACAAACATCCACAATTAGAAAGTAAAGTTTTGTCTTCTAGAAAATTTGATACTATTTTCTGATTGTTGTGAAGGACAGGATGGCACAAGTAAGCAAACAGCCTGACTAAATTCCTTATACCCCTACATACTTGGCAAATAATTCCTGGTCTGTGGCCTGCATGTCAGCCATTCATTATTTAGAAGCATCTGGTGTTCAAATGCCAGACTTTTCTGAACATTTCTGAACCCAAGAATCACATGATCTGTCTCTGGATTTTAATTTGCTGCGTAACATCTCTGCATCAGATTCCTTGTACGATTAACTGTGCTTATTAATTAAAATTATTTGTTAAGAATTTTGCTCTAACGTTTGCTAAACTTATGTTTCCACCGACATCCACTGGTCCTGACCAAATACTGATAAAAACATTTATGATGAGCTATTGCAGAAACAAGTCAGTGAAGCCAAAAGTAATATCATGGTACAGTTCAAGTGAATATTCGTGAGAAAAAGCACAGCAGGATTGGTCATTTCATTTAAAGCCCCAATTCTGCAAGAGTAAAGGTAATGGGATCTTTGTTATTGACTTTCAGTGAACAATGGAATGAATCCCAAGGTAGCACCTATCGGAAAGGGCAGCTGCTTAAAAATTTTACAGCACTTCTACTTGAGAGCAATAAGAACAAAACACACGTTACAGACATAGACATACCGAGATGCAGATGTACGTGCATGCATACATAGCTTTAATGTTCTCAGACTTTTGTAGCTCCAGGTATCTGTAGATTCAACCATTTGTTTGGGAAGCAAACCAAGAATTTTGAACTAGTAAACAGTCAGCCTCAAGAACAGCTGTTTTGGTGCTTGCAATGCCCAAGACACAAAGAGCACAATAACACTATTTGATAGAGCAAATTCTCAGCCATAAAACTCCGTTTTTCAACATAGTCACCATCATTAGCTATATATTTTCACCATTCATGAAAAAAACCTGCATGCCACGCTCAAATGGAAATGACCCACTGCTGATGTCACCACTGTTGAAATGTACAACCCATCATCTCATCATGCTCACATTCATTGGCTGGTCTCCCTAAACATTCAATGTTCAATAGGCATCAATTAATGTCAATAGGTGTCATTTGTTTTCACATGGAGAGATTCAATTCCACCTTTGATTCATACATATCTCCACGTCAGACATCATCTGCCAGACTGCCCCTCTTTTGTCATCTGTCATATGGCAACAAAATGTAATGGAGTATCAGCAGGAAGGTTCAACCCCTACTGCCATACCACCAACATCTACCTGTGATGTCACAGGCCAACATAATAAAAGCAGAGGTCATACTTTTGGAGCAGTCCTCATACATTCCAACTTCAGCAATGTCACTGGGAAGGCAACTCACTTTGAGCTTGTGTTAGAGAGCAGCATACAGTATTAAGATTTATGCATAAACTTTTAACAGCCTAATTCAAACAGTATTTGTGTAAGTATGTAGTTGAGGAAAGAATGCAGAAAAGTAAGTCATTGTAAAACATCCAGCTTCTCTACAAAGCAGAATGATTTTTCTGAGATGCATGTGATGGAACATGAATTAAGTGCAAGATGCCTTATAGCAAAGAGGCCACTTAATTCTGGTAGGGCTACAGAGTTAAACTGAGCTGAAATGCACAGAATGAGGCATTTTAGCCACCATTCTCAGCACACGTGACCATCAATTCACCTAACGCAGCTCTGAAAATCTCTGTATCAATATTCAGCTGTGACGCGTCAGCAGTGGAAAAATATTGGCTGTAGTTTACTTGGATACTATTCAGTATAATTTTGGTTTTGTAACAGCATAAGTTAATTTAACAATGTCAGCAGATTTGGAGAATGACCTTGAAGACAACATAAACCAGTCCTTTAACTTTCAGGACTCTGTTAGTCTCTTTCTTCCCCAGATTAAACTGATAAACATCCTTACATTTAGTGCTTTCCTAAGAAATGTACAGAAAAAAAATGTATTATCTTTTGAACTCTAGTGGCTGTTTAGCAAGGTATAATATCTCCTCTAACAAGTTACATCCACCGTTCTTTAGAAAGGATCTTGAAATATTATGACAGCTGTCACCATCCACTACTTATTGACAAGCTAAGTCTGGAACAACGGAAGACCAAGAGATTTGTCACCCAACAAATCTCGATGAAGTTTGCAATTCTTAAATAACTGATACAGTCTATGCACCCAATCATATCAAAATTGTTAGAATTATTTCAGAGACTAATCTGTAATGTCTAAGCTAATTGGTGTACTTTCCTTGATACTTTAGGACTTTAGTTACTGATAAAGTAGAATGGCTGCAGTAAATGCTCACTGAGTTAATCCATCACTCCCACCGGACTGATTCATCTCAGAAAGTAACCAGGTAAGATTTTGTTTTCTGCTTTATAATTGAAAAAAGCCATCAAGGATGGTCTTCATCAGCAGTAAAAACTCTCAAGTGTTGTCCTCTGAAGTTGTTAGCCTCTATTTCTATCCTTTTCCAGCTTCCTAGAGAACATTTCCACATGATGAGTCCACCAGTATTCCACATTCTGTTTTAATGGCACCAACATGTATTTCACACAGTTTTTCTTAAGTTTCAGGTTTTTAGTGCTTAATCGTATCCCAGTGTTTTTTCAAATTCTAATTAGAGACCTCCTTCCCTCATGCAGTCTTTGCCCCAAAAAGCATATGGTTTCATGATGTTACCAAAAAGAAAGTTTTAAAGAGAACAGTGAAAGAAATAAATGCATTTTGCAAAATATCTGCTAATCACATCTTAGCTGGGAGTTCCTCAGTACCAGGGAGTCTTCTGACTGACACCCATGGAGGAAAGAGATCTACAGCTCTTCTACAGATACAACTTCAGGCAAAGCTGAGAAGCAGATCTGAATATAATAAAAACAAAATGCTGAAGATTTAACTAAAGCAGGTAAAAGTACAAATATATATGTGCTTGTACATACAAAGAAAGACATACCAAAAAAGATACGTATTCCCATCTCTAGAAAATGACAAGACAAATGAGCAAGGATAGCATGATCTGCTCAGAACCAGAACTAATTTGACAATAACATATTTTGCATAATAACACAACTTGTACATCCCATGCCTACACAACAACAGAATCCCAGAAACACCAAGGTTGGAAAAGACCTACAAGATCACACATATCACATATCACCAATAGCTCTCACTAAACCATATCCCTCAACCCAACGTCCAAACATTCCTTGAACACCTCCAAGGTTGGTGACTCCACCACCTCCCTGGGCAGCCCATTCCAGTGCCTGACCATTCTTTCAGAGAAGTAGTATTTCCTAACATTCAGTTTAAATCTCCCCTGGTGCAGACTGAAGCCATTCCCTCTAGTCCTGTCACCAATTACACGAGAGAAGAGACCAACCCCCAGTTCACTACAACCTCCCTTCAAGCAGTTACAAAGAGCAATGAGGTCTCCCCTGAGCCTCCTCTTCTACAGACTGAACAACCCCAGCTCCTTCAGCCTCTCCTCATAAGGCCTGTGCTCCAGACCCCTCACCAGCTTTGCTGCCCTTCTTTGAACCTGCTTCAGGTCCTCAATGCCTTTCTTGCAGTGAAGGGCCTAAAACTGGACACAGCACTTGAGGTGCGGCCTCACCAGAGCTGAGTACAGGGGAACAATCACTGCCCTGTTCCTGCTGGCAACACTGTTTCTGATGCAAGCAATAATTTACGGTAAGAATTATACATGAAGATTTTTATAGCATACTCATGTTTTTATTTTAATAGTGAGCCCACACTATAGTGAAATATTAATTTTGGATTTTAATAATACCCAATCTGTACTGTTTGATCAAGATAGGGAATTGCAAAAGTAATCTCTCTACTAAAATAGTCAAAACATGGCATCCATTACCAATCCAGTAGGAACTTGTGGTAAATAAAATTGGAAATACCCTCTGAGTTTTAACATTAAAAAAAAAAAAAAAAAAACACCTTTAAAAGAGATGGTGTAAAAGCTAAAGTTACTAAAAGCGGTCGAAGATGGAAAAAATAACACCACATCAATAAATAATTAAAATTCGAAATAATAATAGAAAGAAAAAATACACTGTGTTGTACTTCAGACTGCTTTAAAGTAGTTGGGGGTTTCACGAGTTCTTATTTCATAACATATTTTGAAATTCATTTTATGTTCTTTATAATGAATTTTTAAATGAGCAATACTTTTTTCATAATTTAGCCCACAGACATCTGAATCACAGACTTCCACTAATATATTTGCATACAAACAGTTCTCTTACAATTCATCTGCTTTAATTACTTCTTTCTTACCTGAAGTCATTAAGTTCCATATGGGATGCATTCTACTGCCCAAGGCCATGTTGTGAGGGGCACAGATACATGTTCTTTCTCGGCCCAAGAGATTCAGCTGTGGAATGAGTACAGAAAAAGCTTCAAGAGAAAAACAGGAGTTAGCATTAGTATCTAGGAGGAAATGAAGAAAAATGTCAAAAATATATGTACGTGTTGTCAGGGAAGGATAGAAATAGGTAACAAGAAGGAGAAAACAGAGTTTTGGAATAACTAAACTTCAAGAAAGGGTCATTTTCTCTAAAGTCACTGGAGTATAACCTCTAATAGCATTTGCAATTGCAGACAAAGCCACTGGGGTAGAAAGAAACCTGGATCCCAGAGCTGAGTGGGCATTCAGCAAAACGGTTTGGCGCCATAATCTGTTATCCCACCACAGTGATCCTGGTGTTCATGCTGAAGGCATCTCACTTCCCAGTGCTGTTGTAGCTGCCATAAATACTATGAAAGGAGGCTGAAAATTTGCAGCTTAGTGTCTAACTGCAGACACACAAACACACACAGTATTGCAGATTGGGCTGTGACACAGAAGCTTCATAGCTGATCTTCATTTGGGAAGGCATACTCCTCCCAGAGGACTGGAAATGCATCATTTGGGGATCACAAACAATGCTCTGAAATATCATGTGAAATAGCAGGCAACAATGCAGAATTGCAATGAGTTTCTCTCTTAGCTGTCAAGTAAAAATTGCAACAGTATTATATGGCCTTGATGCATGCATAGGGCACGAGCTCGTTTGTGTACCACCACATCACTCATTCTTCAAGTGGAGAAAACTGATTCTAAATATTCATCTACTGACTTTTTATACAAAGTTTTTAATTTAGCCAGTAATCAAAAAAGAAGTATCCAACAGTACTTTTTTTTTTTTTTTGCACATTTAACACATAACATATTTACATGTTATAACAACGTACTGCCTTCTCCAACTTTGCCCAGTACAGTGGGCAGTTGTTTCATTTCTTTTGTAAGACTGGCACTAGAATGTCATAATTCTAACATATTCAGAATTTAGATCATTTGAACTGATTTTATCATATAATATCATGTGGTCCATGACTTTCTTAAGTTCATGAATCTTCAAATAATAATAGTATTCTGGCCTGAATCACACACTTACAGACTGCAAAAGAAAAAACATTTTACTGTAAGTTCTACTCATCCTCTTACTCATTATTATTTACTCTCTGATATAAAAACAAAGGAATCTTTTAATTCAGTGATTGTTTCATTATTTTCACAGGTTTATATTAGCATAGAGAACTTTTTCAATACATTGTCAATACTTCAGAATATTTTAAGTATCCATCTAAATGACTGGAGCTATGTCTTGTAAATCAAGACAACATGAATTCAACAAGGCAGCTTGTATGAACCACTTTTTCCTTACTAATAATTCCATTAAAAAGCTTGGTTCAGCTTCCATTACTGTCAGTGAAATAACATATGAAATGACTACGACTTCTATATTTAGTCTCATTGATTTAGTCTCAAGTTTCCAATCACCGATGTTATGACAGCATTCTGATCTACACCCACTGCCATGCAAAACTGAAGAAAAATTGTTTTCTTGCAGCACTGTATGAATACAACAGAATCTTACACAATGATAAATGGGCAAAGCTATTCAGAATACAGACAAATGCTGGAGAACAGAAAATACATAATTATAATGACCTTATATAAATCAAAAGCACTCTTTGAAAAACATTAAAGCTGAAACAGCAGGGGTCTAAGAGGAAGACAATAAGCACTGCTAGGGAATTAGAGATTTTCATAAGAACAAAAATTGAACAGACTGACAGTTCACATTGGTGATTAACTAATTTAGGATATGCCAGAAGAACCCAAGACAATGAAGTATATAGGGAGGGTAGATCAAGTGCACTCTCACGATATAAAGAAGAGCATACTGTTAATGAAATCACAGAGGTTACATTTAAGTGCATTAAAAATTAATTAACAGGGTATTTTAATATAACATAAAATTATCCAGAACAATTCACTGTAGGAGAAGAATTAAGAGATTGATTTGGCTGAGACTGGATTATACATTCCACTGATCACACACATTTATAAAACTCGTGCAATTTTGAGACTGAAGCAGCAGTCAGCCACTGCTTAACACAAATGGGGATTTTTTTGCCTTCCGAGGTACTCATTGCTCAGTGAGCACTAAGACCTAGAACAGTCCTTGTGACAGGAAAAACTCCAGAAAACTGGCCAGCTTACTGTGCTGCAAACATTACTTTGTGTCAAGTGTGCTGTAGTAATTGCCCATGTCTGCTTGGAGCCCACATCAAATCCAAAGTGGTTAGAATTGGCTTAGCTGCTCTTTCAGGAAGAATGGGGAAAACAACAACTAAGTACCAACTAAGCAGAACAGTTAAAACTGACTTTGGTGAAGTCAAAAGTCAGCTCTGCTTGGCTGATGCATGGTAACATGGTGGTAACAGAGTGTTCAATTAACAAATTCAGGAAGTACTTATGTCACTGGATCAGCTTTATAAAATTGCAAGAACTGAAAGTAAATTTACCTGATTGAAGTCTAAGTAAAGTCTGAGACATACGCTGTAGGCAATGGATTTGTCTGCTCCAGGATGTCAGAGAAGGATTCACTCTCGTCCACTGCATATAAGAGCACAAATACTGACTAAAACATGACCTGAAAATTTCTAGGTCCCATTCATAGATGACTGGACACATCTCAAAGGCCTTTTTGTTTGCTTTTTCAAGATTTTCAGCAGCTCCAACAGGCATTAAGAGGGACCTTCCTGGAATCAGTGAAGGGTCAGTTTATAGAGTTAATCTAGCCTTCATGCGTAGTTGCATGTTACAGCAAGAAAATTACAATTCAATGTCTTGACCCTAATTTTTGCCCCCGATAGAAGTAAAAGGCAATGCTTATTACTGCTGTTGGTCCAGGATCTGATTCTTCCTGTTTTTGTTTTTTTTTAAGGCAAAGCTAACATGATAGAAGCAGCAGCTAACATCAGCTGGTAAATCAATGTTAAGGCTTTCAGTCAAGAAACTGCAGAGAACAGTCCTACAAGCTCTAATATGTAGGCCTCTACAGAAGAGCAACACAATGTCAGCCTCAGGCAGATAACACATGAGGAAACCTTGATATCAATCATGAAATAAATATATTTCCCCTGGCAAAACTGGGAGATACCTATGTCAGAACAGATATAAGATCAAAATGATAGCATTCCCAATGGATTTTTGAAGGTAGAAAATGTACAGTGCCACGGCTTGTCAGATGGAGACGACGTACATGAAGGTTAGAAGCTGCTTTTTCAGACTGAACCTGGATTTTCTCAAATGCCTCTCAAAGCTCAGCTGAAAGACATCCAAGTCAAGTGGAAATGCCTGGCTTTAACAACGCTAAGGCTTGATCCTTCTAATCTGATAGATTTTATAAAACTAGTATCAGGACACAGGCACCTTATTCCAGCCACCCTGGTTCACAGCTGTAATCTGGATAAGAAAAGAACACTGTCCTGTTGTTTGCTAGTAGCCATATTACTGAACTATGTGACTCCAGTGATCCTCACCAAAGCCTTGGCCTACTAATAACGGCTAGAATATTCAAAGAATAAAAAGTAAAACTCACTGCAAGGACTTTTGAAATTAAAGTTGTACTCATGTATATAATTCTTTCCTATTCTCAATATTGGTGAGGAAATGTTAAATAGGAATGTTAACTCTTTTTTCTTGAAGTTGTGATTGCCATAAGCAATGGAAACCATCTTCAGTCTACAGCAATTTCTTTTATCTTAAAGGAAACAGAACAAAGGTAAGATCACTGGGGTGTAGCACAAAATATTTATGTCTTACAACCTAGATGATCTAGAAATGCAGAAAACAAAATGGCTGTTGTCTCACGGGAATCTAAAAACATGAAAGATGTCCTTCCCAGAACAGTCTGAGGAATCATGTTTCATCTTTATATGATCCACAGAAAACCTATTTAAACTAAATGACTTACTTTGTAGTCTTCTACATTTTCCTAACCCAGAGCAATCCACAAACTTCCTCTTTTCATTTTACTTCTCCCAGGCAGACAACAATGTCATTGATGGCACTGTTTATGATACAGAATATCAACTGTATGGATACCTGTTTTTATCTATCTCCTGCAGAACTCATCCTTTTGGAAAAAGATCCATCTTCTCTCTCTCTCTCTGCCTAAAACTATTCACTGTCACAGTTTTTCTATAGGGATTTGTGAGTCAGCATTCCTAAATCTTTACTAGTTCACTTTGAGGTGCTTGATTTCACCTGACTTTTTCCCTAAAATCCCATCACAGTACTGGATTACTGCAGCCCAAAATCAGAAAACAGCAAAGCATTAGTTATATAAAGATCAAATGAAAGGAAAAAAAATTGTAGAGGAGGATGGGGGCATAGAAATTACCAGTCAATCTTTCCCTGGAAGTTTCAGTCCATTCAAGCTACGAAGCCTGTTAGCCTGATCTCAAAGGTCTGCAAAGCTTTTACACTGGTTTTGATGGAAACTCGATTGAAGAATTTTAGGGGAGAAAAAAAAAAAAAAAAAAAAAAAAAAATTTACGTGAAATACACATCTAAACTGTGCAATGTTAACCTTGTATTTTGCTTTGGCGTCAAAATAGCAATAGGGCTGCAGTAGGTACAAGCTACTCTGGTAGGCTTCAGGGATACCTCAGAGTGGCCTTTCAGTTTCTATAGGGGGGCTGTAAGAAAGAAGGGGGCAGACTATCAGCAACTGCTTCCATGGCCTTTTTGAACTTGGACTTCTTAGTTATCGCCAGTGAATTTGTGTACCTCACCTGGGAATATTAATCTTGCTCTATGAAGGGACACTGCCATCTAACAACCACCTCACTGCTTTTGCTGAATAGGGCATTACATGTCCTTTGCCCACTGTTCTCCAGCTTGCTCTTGCTGTGGTTCCAGTTCACAGCCTCTTCTGATGTAACACTTTCCAGGCAGGTCATACAAACACACAGAGCTCAATACTAACAAAAGAAAGATACCTTCTCTCTTTTCCACAATACACATTCTGCTTTATTTTGGTCATTTTTGTCATTTCAAA